AAAATAAAAAAGAAGATACGGGTATTGGAGGAGTAGATGCCAGGAAGGAAAGAAGGAAGATATACCTTATTTCACAATTTTATTTCCTTATGATTGGCAGAATCATTTCTAAAAAATTTGAGACAGGGTCTTGCTCTGTCACCCAGGTTGGAGGGCAGTGGCACAGTCATAGCCAACTGCAGCCTTGGACTCAAGCAATCCTCCCACCTCAGCCTCCCTGGTAACTGGGACTACAGGTGTGTGCCACTTCACCCAGCTAATTTTTTATTTTTGTAGAGATGGGGTCTCACTCTGTTTCCCAGGCTGGTCCCACACTCCTGGGTTCAAGCAATCTCCCCACCTTGTCTTCCCAAAGTGCTGGGATTGGAGGTGTGAGCCACCATACCTGACCCTGCAAAATCATTTTTTATGCTGCAAGTTGCCCAACTCCAATTCTAAGTTGTGGTACAAATGAACTTCACTGTTAAAAAGAGGTAGGATTCAGTTATTGGTGCAAAATAACTTTTCTTTTCTTTCTTTTTTTCTTTTTTTTTTTTTTTGAGACCATTCTGTCGTCCAGGCTGGAGTGCAATGGCGCTATCTTGGCTCACTGCAGTGCGCCTCCGCCTGCCAAGTTGAAGCGATTCTCCTGCCTCAGGCTCCTGAGTAGCTGGGACTACAGGCGTGTGCCACCACGCCCAGCTAGTTTTTTGTATTTTTAGTAGAGATGGGGTTTCACGGTGTTGGCCAGAATGGTCTCCATCTCCTGACTTTGTGATCTGCCTGCCTCGGCCTCCCAGAGTGCTGGGATTACAGGTGTGAGGCACTGCGCTCGGCGCAGAATAAATTTTCTGGTTAGCAGAATGGTAATTGTTTCTATGTGGCCTCTTTGCTGCCATAGTGGTTTGACATTATTTCAATAGGAAATTAACGTAGGGTATATGAACATGTCTGGCCTATATATATTGCAAAACCCAAAGTCTCTCCCATGATTGCTCCCTTTACCCACCCCAATTTGTGGAGTATCTGGTGACATTAAAAAAAAAAAAAAAAAGAAATAGAGGCCAGGTCTTACTATGTTGCCCAGGCTGGTCTTGAGCTCCTGAGCTCAAGTGATCTTCCCACTTTGGCCTCCCAAAGTGCAAAGATTATAGGTGAGCCACTGTGCTGTTTAATATGTGTGTTAAAGGGCAAAACTACAACAAATTTAAATCTCCCTTGGCTTTATTGCGATTTTAGAATTCGGCAATGCTTCATTCCACAAAACAGAGTAAGTGTTCGAAGGAACTGAGCACAAGAGGTTGGCTTAATAGACAGAAGAGCTGAGAAAAGGTGAAGCAAAGAACAAAGGGCCTATTAGTTGTTTCAAAGCTACCTTTCTTGTAAGGCAGGGACAGGGAGAAGACAGAACAATAGAAAAATAACTTATTAGTTAATATCAGGTTACTTCAGGCTGCTTTTTTTGTGTAAGGATTAAAGCAGAGGGAACTTCATTATCATTCCAATTGAAGATTGAAAGTGGCCTGTTTGGAAAACTGGCTGTCATCTCTCTTGTTTCTGAGAAGGTCAGATAACAACTAAATTTAAGTTTAGTGATGTGAAACTTTAGCACGAGTGACTCCATTTTGATTTTTAGTCTGGTCACTTGGGGCCTAGTGCAGGAGATTAGTCTACTACGGTAGCTTCCTATAGTTTTATTTAACACATGAAACAATTATTAATACATGCCAAATACTTTGCAGAATAGTCTTAATTAGAACTTGACTCTGAAATGACCATCTTTGTAATGGTAACTCTACATTTGACTACATTTGTACTGAGAACAATTAGTATAATTGTCCCTTGATATCACAGGGGATTGATTCCAGAGCTCTCCAAGGATACACAATCCTGGAATGCTCAAGTTTCTTATATAAAATGTCATAGTACAGTTAGCCGTCTGTATCTTTGGGTTCTGCATCTGTGTAGATGGAAGGCTGACTGTACTGTAATTATTTTGGAGATAAAAGGTGTTATGAGTTTCTAAGAAGTTTGCGAATTGTTGCTGTTTCAAAATTCCTTATATTGGCTTAAAGGTACCATTAGTTGTTGAAGACTAATAATTAACATTTACTAAGCATGTACTGTATGCCAAGCACTGTTGCAGGTTCTTTACATGTATTATGTTAGTTTACCTTATGAGAAAGGTAGTACTGTTTTCATTTTTAGAGAAGGGGAAACCAAGCTACACAGAGGATGAATAACACAGAGGTTGAATAGCTAGAGTGTGGTAGAGCCACTCTGACTCTAGAACCCAGGCTTAACGGGACTCACAACCAACCAGTTTGTAACAAATTGCTGAGCAGTCAGGTTGAGAAGTCTAAGAAGTGGAAGATTTGTAGATAAATAGAAAGGGGAAGAGCAAACTCTTATCTTACTCCCTTCTCCCAATGAAATTCAGTAGTTATGTGCAGGGTGAAAAACAGGAAATGAGCTTGGCCCCTGTTTTTTGCTTCCTCTTCTTTATTTTTGCTTTCCTCTTTGCATTGCTGGTAACTCATGGATATATACTCGTCACTCCACTAGCACTGATTATATTTGTTTTGATTAATGTCACTTCTCAGTGTAGTGTAATGTAATGTTTAGTAAGAGCAGGGACTTGAGGTTGGGCACGGTGGCTCACACCTATAATCCTAGCACTTTGGGGGGTCCAGGCAGTTGGATTAGTTGAGGTCAGGAGTTCAAGACCAGCCTGGCCAACATGGTGAAACCCTGTCTCTATTAAAAATACAAAAATTATCCAGTTGTGGTGGCGGGCGCCTGTAATCCCAGCTGCCCTGGAGGCTGAGGCAGGAGAATTGCTTGAACCCGGGAGGCAGAGATTCCAGTGAGCAGAGATCACGCCACTGCACTCCAGCCTGGGCCATAGAGTGAGTCTCTGTCTCTGTCTCTCTCTCTCTCTCTCTCTCTCTCTCTCTCTCTCTCTCTCTCTCTCTCTCACTGCCCTCCAGCTTGGGCCATAGAATGAGAGTCTCTCTCTCTCTCTGTCACTCACACACACACACACACGCAAAAACAAAACAAAAAACAAGCAGGGACTTGAGATTCAGACTGCTTGGGTTTAAATTACAGTTCTACCACTTACTGGCTGAATAGCCTTGGCTTGCTTACTTGCTGAGCTTCACTCTTCTTGCTTGTAAAATAGGGATAATATAGCACATCATAGGCTTTTTGGGAGGATGAAATGTGTGAATATGTGTAACATGTTTTGAACAGTACATGGCACTTAGTAAATGCTGTGTAAGTGTTTACTGCTTACTATTATTTGAGAGTGCTTTTAGATTTAACCAGTAATTGATCTTAGGGATCAGGGTTGTTAACCTTTAATGCTGTGTTAGTATGGGTGCTTCTTAGTGCATAAAAGGGAAAGGAGAAGGAAAAAAGAGATATAAAAGGAAGTTGAATAAAGAAAGATAAATATGGCTGGCTGCAGTGGCTCATGCATGTAATCCCAGCACTTTGGGACTTTGGGAGGCCAAGGCGAGTGGATTGCTTGAGCCAAGGAATTCAAGACCAGCCTGGGTAACAGTGAGACCCCATCTCTTAAAAAAACCCAAACCCAAACCAATACAAAACAAAAACCCAGCCAGGCATGGTGGCATGTGTCTGTGGTTCCAGCTACTTGGGAGGCCAAGGTGGGAGGATTGCTTGAGTCTGGGAGGTGGAGGTTGCAGTGAGCTGAGGTTGTGCCACTGCACTCCAGCTTAGGGTATGGGAGTAAAACCCTGTTTAAAAAAAGAAAAATATACTGCAGATAATTTTGATGAGGAACGGGAGAGTGTGTATTTCCTGTAGGTTACTCACACTAGTGTAATTTCGTGTTCTTGATTTTTGCATCCTTTCAACAACTCGCAGTGTGCCAGTCTAGAAGTGCTCAGTGCTAGAAGTATAGTGGTGCTTGAGGTACTATAGGTTCATTTACAGGGATGTTAATAGGCATTTATAAATTGTTATGATTAATTGTTGTGAATGGTGCTATAGGAGCATGGTGGCATCTGACCAAGAGTTAGGTGGTTCTGTATTTTTATGTTTAATTAAACCCTTTTAGGATTATAATTTAAATTAATTTACATATAAATCTTAAAATTTAGGTATATATTGGGTGGTATTTCTTTTTATTCTTTCAGAAAACTGTTAAAGTATTTCATTGAATCTAAGATTCCAATTTCATAGAAGTCAAAATGTGGGGGAAAAATGGCTGATAATGATTGTAAGAGACTCAATAAAGATACATTCTGACTTTAGAGATGTTTAAATGAAAAAAAGTTTCTCAAATTAATGACTCTTTGGTACTTGTAATTGATAGCTTCTTAAAATTGAGGAGAACTCGAATAAGAGAAGCTGTAGTATCTGTTTATAAGTCAGTATGCTTTAGAGCAATCTGACTTTTCATTATAAAAATGTAGGTTTTGGACTAGGCATTCTGGTGCTAAAACAGCTGTTGAGGCCAGCGATCACCCTGTTCTTTGTTCAGTTCCTCACGTTACTCATATAATTCGTGTGAGGCTCTGCTGCTTGTTGGTCAGAGCCTGAGTAAGGCTGAGTAAGGCTGGATAATGAACCATTCTTTAAAGCGATGGCCTTTGTATTGCAGTCTAGTTCACATACATGCATACATACAGGTGTGTGTGCACGTGTAACCGAAGAAAAGCTTTCACAAAATAATATTTAGTACAGTATGTGGAATTTTCTCTGATACAGTCTCTTCTTTTTCATTATAAAAATAAATTTGCTGTTTGTCAACCATGGGACCTTCTAAAATAACACTTAAGAAGTTGAAACAGCCAGGGATCAGAAACTTAGAAATGAACCTTATTTGTTATTGTAACTTATAGCAAGTCATTGTTTCTCTTATTGGGTTCTTTTAGCCATAATAATTGTGCTAGTTCTTTTCTTGCTCTGAGTGCCTTAACCTGTTGCTAAGTGAGGAAAAAAAAATACATACATAAGCATAAATAAACATGTCTTTAATCTTTTTGCAGGTCAACATCAGATTTGAAATATTTAAAGTGGATACAAAACTATTTCAGCAATGCAGACAATTAAGTGTGTTGTTGTGGGCGATGGTGCTGTTGGTAAAACATGTCTCCTGATATCCTACACAACAAACAAATTTCCATCGGAATATGTACCAACTGTAAGTATAAAGGCTTCTTTCTGTTAGTAAAATGTAAAATTTGATACCCTTTTGAAAATTCTTTCTCTGTGTGTACTGAATTTTTTTCTGTTTTCTGCCTTTGTTTCCTGTTTTTAAAGATCTTGACTTCTCATGGGTAAATTATATACACTTTAAAATTAAACAGCTGAAAAATCAGTGGAAAGTCAGAAGGGGTGACACAAGGGTTTACAAGAAGTGCTGGGAGGCAAAACTCCAGTAGACAAGATTCTAACGAGTGGTGATCTCAGTTTGGTGAAGTATGCCCTACATCCTGGAATGAGGTGACTTTTTTTTTTTTGGATATTTTGGCCAGTTATTGAACAGTACTTGGAGGTCTCCTGGGATACCATTTGGGGTCCTGTAACTTGAGAGAAAGTTGTATGTGTCTCCACTTTTCTTGTGGAACTATTCTCTTAGCAGTAATGGAGCTCCAAACTGGTTGTTAGGGGCAGAGAAGAGAAGACCTGTTATGTTATGAGAATACCAACAGAAACCTTTGGGGGTCACCCCCCACAACCTTTTTTTTTTTTTTTTTTTTGGAGACGGAGTCTCTATCGCCCCTTCTATCTGGAGTGCAGTAGTGCGATCTCGGCTTGCTGCACCCTCCGCTTCCTGGGTTCAGGCGATTCTCCTGCCTCAGCCTTCTGAGTAGCTGGGATTACAGGTGCCCGCCACCACGCCCAGCTAATTTTTGTATTTTTAGTAGAAACAGGGTTTCACCATGTTGGCCAGGCTGGTCTCGAACTCCTGACCTCAAATGATCCACCCGCCTCGACCTCCCAAAGTGCTGGGATTACAGGCGTGAACCACCATGCCCGACCCCACAGCTGTTTTTTAAATCAACTCTTTGGAATGGGAGAAGGAAGGTGGGAATAACAAAGATATTGAAGTGAGAGAGGGAGACAAGAGTTAGAGTAACACTCATTTGTGAAAGGTAGTGAGACACTGTCTCAAAAATAAGTAAAGTTGTTTATTTTGAAGGGGGGAGAATTTGAAGGTATTATTAAACACTAAAATCACATTGATATTTTGAATTGGCCCATTTGGAGACAAGATAAATGGAAGATGTTGTGAGGTTCAGTGGACTTACAGGGGACGTTTAGAGGTACATGAATCTTGTTTCAGAGTGAGGACAGCTATCAGAGTTTTTCTGTTTTAGTTTCCATTGAAGTTATTTAACTTGTAAACATAATTTCTGAGTCTTTTATGACTTTGATCTTCTGGTGTTGTATTTTAAGTGGGCTTGTGGGTTTTTTATATGTATGTTTGTGTGTACATCTCTGGAAAAGTGATAGGGTGGAAGGAAGAGTAGTAGAATAAAATTTTAAATGAGCCGATTTAGGTAAATGAATGGACCATGAGGCACAAATAATGTTCTCATGGTACCTGTTGAAGTTAATATGGAAATGGATTTGGTGTAAAATGCATTTTAGTTCCCATCTATAAATTGGAGCTTGCCGTTTCTAGAGTAATAGAAATTCAGAGTTGGATGGGACAATACATATTGTCTTATCCATCTCTTACGGATGAGAGTACTCAGGCCCAATTTAGGGATGAGACTTAGAAGTCTGACTTTAATTACTTAGTGTAATTACACTAGGGAAAGTAGACTTTGGAATGGAAGCCAGCTTTTCTGATTCTTTTTTTTTTTTTTTTTTTTTTTGAGACGGAGTCTCACTCTGTCGCCCAGGCTGGAGTGCAGTGGCCGGATCTCAGCTCACTGCAAGCTCCGCCTCCCGGGTTTACGCCATTCTCCTGCCTGCTTTTCTGATTCTTAGTCTGGTTTTGGATATGAACAATCCAGTAAAGGAGGGTTGTTTTTGAGTCTCTTAAGTGCAATTTAAGAAAGTTATGTGTTTGGTTTGAGAGCTTAATCACGTTCATTCGATTTCTTTGTTCTTGTTTTTAAGAACGGACTTTCCTTTGTCATCTCCCTCAGGCCCTTGCTTCTCTTCTTTACATTTAAATAAGCTCTTGAGCAGTCTGTTAAAACATAAATCAGAAAATCAGAGTAGGTACCCAAAGGTTAAGTAGGGCTGGTCTTAAAATGTGGCATTCTTCTCCTAGTTGGAAAGCTTTGCTTTTCTTTTTATATATATCATTTAATTTTTAAATTTTTATTGTAAATTGACAGATTATAGTTGTATATGAAAGCATTGCTTTTCTATTGTAAATTAATTCTAAAGACTCCAGAATTTGTGTTGGGTCTTTTCCCATTTAGCATTGTTAAACCTCCCATTTTCACAAATAACTTAGTACAACCAATATTAGCATATGCTGTACTGAATTTGATAAGGGTTTTATGGTCTATTTACATATTAAGCATCTTGTTACAGAAGATGTCTCACGTCATGCAGTTTGTGCCCAATAACATGAATTTTACTCATAAAATTCCCAGCTGGCCAGTCGCAGTGGCTCACACCTGTAATGCCAGGACTTTGGGAGGCTGAGGCAGGCAGATCATGAGGTCAGGAATTTGAGACCAGCCTGGCCAACATAGTGAAACCCCGTCTCTAAAATTTTCTCTAAAAATACAAAAATTAGCTGGGTGTGGTGGCATGCACCTGTAGTCCCAGCTGCTCAGGAGGCTGAGGTGGAGAATCACTTGATCCTGGGAGGCAGGTTGCAGTGAGCTGAGACCATGCCATTGCACTCCAGCCTGGGTGACTCAGACTCTGTCTCAAAAAAAAAAAAAAAAAAAAAAAAAAAAAAAATCCTGGCAAATAATCTGTCAGCCTTTTCTTGGACACTTTGAGTACTTTGAGGGAACCGTTATTTCTCTCAAATGGGCTTGTTTGTAACAAGGTTTATCTTTTCTAGGACTCTGAAAGGAAGAAAGGTCATGGATCTAGGAGATTTTATTTCTAGATGAAAAGAAAATGGTCTATGAAGAAATAATTTCTTAGGAATCAGATTGAATGTTGAGGTAGACCACTGTCTCAAAAGTTTCAGACTTGAACAGGTTCATTTTGTGTAGCTAGAGGACTCTGCTCCTGTGACACCTCTAAGCCTTCTCTGGCTCTTTATCCAGGCTGCTGTGGTAGAGCAGAAATCTCAGAACACATCCTTTGTCTTTTTCCAGGAACCATTTAGCTCACACAAGGTACTTGGTTGGCAAGATTGGTTATATAAGGATGATGAATGGACTAAGGGACGATTAAGTCTTAGCAAGGAAACACTGCCTTAGCTTAAGAGTTGTTCTGTCCCATTTTAGCTCTCTCCTTGCACACTAACAGTGTTGTATTTTTTTTGTTTTTAGGTTTTTGACAACTATGCAGTCACAGTTATGATTGGTGGAGAACCATATACTCTTGGACTTTTTGATACTGCAGGTGAAAACTTAATGTCTTTTATACTGTTTTGATTTTTAACAGTTGCTAGTTGTTTGTCTCTTATGGATATTTTGAGAAACTAGCACATGAGCAGAGTACTTGCCTTTTGTTATTAGTTAGCAGGATTGAATATAATGATCGTTGATGCTTGACCAAGGAGCAGTCCCAGACCTGGATTGGCAAATAGGAGTTTGGAGTACCCTGGGTGAACAGTGTAGTAGATGAAGTAGAGTGAGACTAGAGTGCATTATACAAGCTCCAAACTGAACTAAAATCCTGATGTGTGCACCTTGCAGAGAATTGGGGACTGTATTAGTGGTTGGGGAGGGACTAAGGGAATGAATTCATAGGAATCATGCCCACTGATTCTCTCCCTTCACCCCTACCTGCTCCGTTTTAAAGCCTAGAGTTTCCTAAGTATGCCTAAGGTTGTAAGGTCGTAAGCCATTTATAGTATTTATTATCACTCTCTGATATCTGAAGGCGTATTCAATTTATGTGTCTAATAACATGTTTAGTTTCTTACAATAGCTTATTTATTTTAAACTGTATCTGAAAATAATTTGAGAGTGAACTGTTACTTGCTCACAGTATTGACATTTGTCAACTATCCAAATTGTAAGAACAAATTACTTTCTTCCTCAAATGTACCTAATTCCTCAGTGCTATTTCTTGTTTTCAAGAATGGCTGCACATCTTAATTTCTGACTTTTCTCTATGTGCCATCTTATTATCAGCTTAGTTAGCCAGTGGCAAGTCTCAGAAAGATGTCCTTTAGAATATCTTTAGAATGTAGGAATTCTAAACTTTCTGCTTTGTTTGAGTTACTCTTTGTTACTGTTTCCAAGCTAACTTGTTGCTCTCATGGAATCTGTTGTACTGTGTACCATGAGGAACTATTTGGATTTAATTGAGAACATGAAATGGAGAGACAATAAAGTTTAGAGAAAATTTTAATACATTAAAATTATAAAAGTAATTGTATATTAAACTTGGAAAATAGAGAAAACAGTGACCCATAATCTCTTGATAAATGAGGAATTTTCTTCTGTGTTCATTTGTGTCCAAAGGCACAGAGAAAAGATTTTTTTTGTTGTTGTTGAGACCGAGTTTTGCTCTTGTTGCCCAGGCTGGAGTGCAGTGGTGTAATCTCGGCTCACCGCAACCTCAACCTCCTGTGATTCTTCTGCCTCACCCTCCCGAGTAGCTGGGATTACAGGCGTGCGCCACCACACCCGGCTAATTTTTTTGTATTTTAGGAGAGATGGGGTTTCTCCATGTTGGTCAGGCTGGTCTCGAACTTCTGACCTCAGGTGATCCGCCCGCCTCGGTCTCCCAAAGTGCTGGAATTACAGGTGTGAATCACCACGCCTGGTGAGAAAATATAATTTATGGCTACTTCTGGTTGAAAATTAGTATTTTCAGATTTAGAGTTTATTTTTTGTAAGCCTTTACATTTTCTGGCGAGTACTTTTTAAAGCTTTATTGATGTGTAGCACAATAAAAATCAATTTAAGGCCAAGTATGGTAGCTGACACCTGTAATCACAGCACTTTGGGAGGCTGAGACAGGCAGTTCACCTGAGGTCAGGAGTTTGAGACCAGCCTGGCCAGTATGGTGAAACCCCATCTCTACTAAAAATACAAAAATTAGCCGAATGTAGTGGTGTATGCCTGTTAAGTCCCAGCTACTTGGGAAGCTGAGACAGGAGAATTGCTTGAACCCAGGGGGCGGAGGTTGCAGTGAGCCGAGATTCTGCCACTGCCCTCCAGCCTGGGTGACAGAGTGAGACTCTGTCTTTAAAAAAAAAGAAAAAAAATCGTTTTAAGTGTTTGGTGTGATGCATTTTGCTGACCCTGTACCATAATAACATGTGTAACATTTTTATCACCCCTCAAATTTTCCGTGGTGAGTCCTTTTACCATTGAATGGTCTTGGCACCCTTATCAAAAATTATTTGACCATATATGTGAGTGTTTATTTCTGGGTTCCCTTTTGCCGTCAGCCCTGTCCCTTGACCTGGTTCCGGGCAACCACTGATCTGCTTTCTTTGTTTCCACTGTTTTGCTTTTCTAGGGTTTCATATAAATGGAACCATACAATATGTAGTCTTTTGTGTTTGACTGTTTTTACTTAGCATAATGTTTGTGAGAGTTGTCCATGTTGTGTGTATTGGTAGTTGTTTCTTTTGATTGCTGAGTGATACTCTGTTCTATGAATATATCACAATTTTGTTTATCCATTAACAAGTTGATGGATGTTTGGGTTCCAGTTTTAATACTGGTGCTATGAATTGCTTCCATGTCTGAGCTCTTTTGAATAATGTTGCTATCAACATGGGTATACAAATACCTTGTTGAGATATACAAATACCTTGTTGAGACCCTGCTTGCAGTTCTTTAGGAGTGTATACCCAGAAGTGGAATTGTTGGATCATGTGGTAATTCTGTTTTTAATTTTTTTGAGGAACCTCTATATTGTTTTCCACACTGGCTATCCTATTTTATATTCCTACCAACAGTACGTGGGGGCTTGATATAGTCACATTCTTCTCTTTGATACTTATTTTCTGTTTTTTTTTTTTTTTTTTTGTAGCCATCCTATTTAGTGTGAGGTGGTATCTATTTGTGGTTTTGATTTGCATTTCCTTAATGATTAGTGATGTTGAACGTCTTATGGCCATATATCTTCTTTGGAGAAAGGTCCGTTTAATCAAATTCTTTGCCCGTTTTTGAATTGGGATTTTTTTTTTTTTTTTTGGTTAAGTTTTAGGAGTTCTCTGTAGATTCTAGGTATTAATCTCCTATCACATATACGATTTGCAAATATTTTTTCCTATTTTGTGGGTTGCGTTTTTATTCTGTTGATACTATCTTCTGATGTGTAAAATTTTTACAATTTCACGAAGTTTTTCTATTTTTTGGTTGGTTTGGTGTGATATCCAAACAAATTATTGCCAAGTCCAGCTGAATCTTTTGCCCTCTGTTTTCTGGGAGTTTTAAAGTTTTAGGTCTAACATTTAGACCTTTTATCCATTTTGAGTTAATTTTTGTATATAGTGTTAGGTAAGATTCCATCTTTGTCTTTTGCATGTGAATATGTCATTTTCTCAGCAGCATCAGAGTCCTTTTACCACTGAATGGCCTTGGCACCCTTATCAAAAATTATTTGACCTAGGCTAGGCGTGGTGGCTCACACCTGTAATCCTAGCACTTTGGGAGGCAGAGGTGGGCAGATCACCTGAGGTCAGAAGTTTAAGACCAGCCTGGCCAACATGGTGAAACCCCATCTCTACTAAGAATACAAAAATTGGCCTGGCGTGGTGGTGTGTGCCTGTAGTCCCAGCTACTCAGGAGGCAGAGACAGGAGAATCTCTTGAACTGGGGAGGCGGAGGTTGCAGTGAGCCGAGATTGTGCCACTGCACTCCAGCATGGGTGATAAGAGAGAGTGAGACTCCGTCTAAAAAAGAAAAAAAAAAATTATTTGCCCATATATGTAAGGGTTTATTTCTGGGTTCTCTAGTCTATTCCACTGTCTTATATATTGCCCTATGCCAATACCACACTGTTTTGATTATTGTAGCCTTGTACTAAGTTTTGAGATCAGGATGTGGGAGTCCTTCAGCTTTATTCTTCTTTTTCAAGATTATTTTGGCTATTTGGGATCCCTTGCTGGGATTTTGATAGGGATTGCATTGAATCTGTAGGTTGCTTTGGATAATGTTGACGTGTCTTAAGTCTTCCAATTCATGAACGTGGGATGTGTTTCCATTTATTTGTCGTCTTTAATTTCTTTCAGCAGTTTTGAAATTTTTGTTGTCCAAGTCTTTTGCCTCTGATTAAGTTAATTCTAAGTATTTTTATTGTTTTGAGTATCCATTAATTCTTGTTAAATTCTTGCTAAATTTTTTTTCTAGGCTTTATCAGTTTCAGATACTGGTCTTACATACACACATTAAATATGTGAACCTGTGTTTCTAGTCACGATGGGCAGTGGGTTTTGTCATCTGAGTTTCACTGAGATGACACAGTGAAATTTAGATGATTTCACTGTAATGGTTTCTTTACCGTATCTGAGATGGAGTCTCGCTCTGTTGCCCAGACTGGAGTACCGTGACACCATCTTGGCTCACTGCAACCTCCACCTTCTCTATTCACGCAATTCTTCTGCCTCAGCCTCCTAAGTAGCTGGGATTACAGACGTGCACCATCACACCCAGCTAATTTTTATATTTTTAGTAGAGATGGGGCTTCACCCTGTTGGCCAGGCTGGTCTCGAACACCTGACCTAGGGTGATCAGCCTGTCTTGGCCTCCCAGAGTGCTGGGATTACAAGGATTGATTTTTAACCATTTCTGTAGCAAGAGTTTATTATTACATTTATTACTGGGTTTCTAATGGACCCCAAGATTGAACACCACAAACTAGTAGTAAAAGCAAATAACATAATAGTAAATTCATTGCTGTTCTGAGTGCTTAAAGTTTGTAGAATTAGCTGATTGAGAATATTGCCTACATATTATATTACAAAGCCATACATTTTATTAGATAAGTAAGTTGCTTTTTGAGTAATGACTAGCATACTTGTAACGCTTTGAGGACATCAAGATTCAGTTGCTGAATTCTCTCCAATATTTTTCCTTTTTCTAGGGCAAGAGGATTATGACAGATTACGACCGCTGAGTTATCCACAAACAGATGTATTTCTAGTCTGTTTTTCAGTGGTCTCTCCATCTTCATTTGAAAATGTGAAAGAAAAGGTAAGCTGATCATGTATTCTTGCCCTAAGAAGATCATCTCAGAATTTCTACTGACCTGTTATAAATAGCATTAGAGGCTTGTTGAATAACAAAGGTGTATTTTAAAATACCTTTTTGTAGTGGGTGCCTGAGATAACTCACCACTGTCCAAAGACTCCTTTCTTGCTTGTTGGGACTCAAATTGATCTCAGAGATGACCCCTCCACTATTGAGAAACTTGCCAAGAACAAACAGAAGCCTATCACTCCAGAGACTGCTGAAAAGCTGGCCCGTGACCTGAAGGCTGTCAAGTATGTGGAGTGTTCTGCACTTACACAGGTAAGGATGACATGAAACCCCTTGCATATTTATGGTCAAGTCATTTATTAGAGCATTAGGATATAGGAGTTTAACAGTGATCAGCAGTGCTCAAAGATGCCCAGCAAGAATATGAACAGCTTCATATTGTATATTCTTTTGTTGGAGGCCTCTGCGTTTTTTGGAGAACATTATTAGTTCCTAAACTCCTTGTGTTGGTAAGGTCTCGTGTTGTACTGAATGATTTGTAGTGGTCATGGTTGTGTGAAAACAAAAACCTTACAGGAAAGGTTCAGATAAGCACAGACTTGCAAGAGAGGATATGAATGATTTTTTTTTTCTAGACACTTAAATTTTCATCTAAATATGTCTGATCTTTTCTTGCCAATTCAGACAGTTGATACTATACTGTTTCTTGGGCAGTTCAACCAGGATAATAGGGAATTAGTCATAATAATTGAGACTTTCATGTCAAAGAAGGCAGCCATGGCTGTTTCTGCCACAGTTCTCAAGCATGCTTTATATAGTGTCTCTATTCCTAGGTTTTTGGAAGTATTCCTTCCTCATGCATTCTGACCATTTTTGAGTGATTTAATAGGAACTCCTTTTGTAGTTTGATGGGAAACTCAGATTTTGAAGATAGGGAGCAGTGTTAGGGTATTTGGAAGGGACTTGTAACTGATGTGTATGGTTTAAACTTTTTCACCTTCATGATATCGCTGATTCCATCCTTTGAGTACTGTTCTGGAGGCAAAGGAAAAAATTATGGAAATAATTAGCACAAAAGTCTTACGTTCTACTGGTACTGGTGCTTTGAACTTTGAACGGTGAGCAGGTATGCCTAATAGGGCAAGATTGAAGGGTGGAGATTTCTAATAATTATATTAAACTCATTATATTTATGGTTACGTTTTCAGGTAATTGTTCATTTTTATTGTGTTTCTAAAAAACACTTGGATTCTTAACTACATGTATACTAGGGTAAATGGCATATATGATTACTTATTACATATGCACTAGGTATTTAGTTTATAGGGCCTAGTGCATAATTTAATAATCAGTTTAGTACTTGGTTGGATATTTAAAGATAAAACTTTTATGCTTAACTGGGATATTCCCAGAATAACTTCGAGGCCTAATATCAGATGATTTAAACGTAATCTTCTAAGCCTAGTTTTTTAAGGCAGTTTAGTGCTATTATAAAAGCAGTTATTTAGAAGTTTAGAAGATTTTATATCTTCCCATGCACAGCGTTGTTGTGAGAGTTTAAAAAAATGCCTGGTGCTTCTCTCTGTGTTTTAGTAACATTCCCAGAAAAGTATGCCTGTGTGTGTATATTGGGGGAGACAGGGAAGGTCATGTGTGAAACACTGATGTCCATGTTAGACACTCATTCTGTGTGCTTCTGATGCATACCTCTGTTCTCTAGATATGGGTTGCTTTGAGGGAAGACACATAGGCCCTGTGGATTCACTTTTAGGTTACTCGTGATGCTTTAGATAATTGGATGCTTTTAATGTAAGATTTTTACAGTATCAGCAGGTGTATACAGTAAATCAGTTTGTAGAGAGTATGAAGTTTAAAAGGTCTTAGCAGGTACATTTTTCTTACCAGAGTTTGAAGTATGGAGAAGTCAAAAGAGGGGAAGTTAGAAAATGGGGTCTGTGGTTGTGTTTGGGAGCTAGAACTTTTAGGCTTACAGATTCTGTTTGTTGATTCCTCTAAAACTAGAATTGTAATATAAACAGATGGTGGTCAAGCAAAGATTAGTTTTGTTTCATAGAGCATTTGTTGATCTTTGTCCACTGTAAGCAAGAAAGGAATTCCTTCTTGTTAAGGGATACACTCCAGTTTCTAATGGTCCTCCTCCTCTTTTTTTTTTTTCTTCTAAAGTATATTTCCCTTTCTGTACTCCTTCCTTTTATATTTGACTGCCAGAGTTGGTTCCTAGGTGTGTAGAAAGAATTGCAGAGGAATTTAAGTTTTTATATGGCATTTCTACTTTGTAAATGATGTAGAAAGAAGAAAGCTTTTTAACTTTTGCTGCTTTTAAAGAATTTACTGCTGTTTTTGATTTATTTTGTATCTAACGTGATGTGTGGGTATCAGTCCTGTGGGATGTCATGGATGGGGACGGGGTGGAGGTGGGCACACTTGGGGTGGTCTGGGGTTGGCACTTACAGTTGGAGCTGTGTTCTGAGGCTTCTAGGACATACTTACTTGGGATCAAACTGATCAAACTAAAGAACATGTGAAACAACCTTGGGTGGTAAACTTGTGGCTTCAGATTTAGGTGAGTTTAGGTGAGTCTGTAGACCTGGGTCCTAAGTACCACCACTGCTGAGTCACACTGTCATGTTGGAGTTTCTGGCTGAGGTGTAAGTGTATTTCTGTATCTTAATCCCATAAGATCTGAGAATATTCTTTGTTTTCACTCCATGCTTTATGCTCTGATACCCATGCAGACATCTTAAAGCACTGGACTGCTTGCTAAAACTCATTCTAGGATCCCATTCTTTGTTTTCTTATGACTTGGGTGGTGGTTACTTGCTCTAATAACATTGCTGAATAACTGAAGTGTATGCTGTTTCTAGAGTCTGTTCTAGTTGGTACTGTTGCACAATTAACACTTTTTAAATGTCTGAACCTTTCTGTTCTGGAAAACCAGTTTACTCTGAAATCTTGATTAATCCCATTCAGATATGTCATTGAACCTAGAAACACGTAGCATGCCTGTTAGTCTGCTATTTGTGTCCTTCAGTTATTCAGGGGCTGAATTCACATAAGCCTGAAAGTGTAATAGATTTATTTCCAAAATGTGTTAGAAGTCAACATATGCATTTTAATAAAAGTTGCTTTCCTTCTCAGTTAACCTTGCTTGAGTTGAAGTTTTTGGTCAGTTGTCTGCTCTCCCAATAATGGGCTTAAGATCAACATTCTAGCATTTTTCTTAAGGCACATTGCTTCTGTGAATTCAGCTCATTTAATCCGGACTGCTGTTGTACCTGCTAGTCTTTCTAATCCTCTAACCTGGCTGCTATTCTCTCTCCTCCCCTCTGTCTTGTAGAGAGGTCTGAAGAATGTGTTTGATGAGGCTATCCTAGCTGCCCTCGAGCCTCCGGAAACTCAACCCAAAAGGAAGTGCTGTATATTCTAAACTGTTTTCTCCTTCCCTTCTTTGCTGCTGCTTCCTGTCCCACTACTGTAGAAAGATCGTTTAAAAACAAAGGAATAAAACCATCCTGTTTGAAAGCCTCTGCGTCTTTTTACTCACCACCTTAGAGCAACCTCTGTATTAGTTTTTGATCAAGAATGCAATATCTTATAGAAATTTTTTGTGGTCAGTAGTCAAGTTGGACTTGTTTTAACTTTCTGCTGCTTGAGTTGCCTGATGCTCAGAGCTTTTTGGTTTGGATTACCATTGCAAAAGGGAACTTGGTCTGGCATTAAGAGTTGGAGAAAATAACAAGAGTTTTAACACTTCTAGATCTTAGTTCTAGATGGAGAAAGTAACACAAACATCATTTTACTCTTATGATCAATTGTTAATTGTAATTGCATGACAAACCTTATGGAAAAGGGGTGACCTTCTAGTAGAGTGTAACGGGGAAGGGAGGATTCTTTTCTGGTTTTCCTTTGTGCAGTGAAACTTTGTGTTGCTGTTGCTTTGGCTGTCTGTGCTGTAGTGGAGTATTTGTCAGTCTGGGGTGGGGAAGATATTGATGTATCTGCTACTGCTTTATGAGTTCATTTGTTACGTTATCTTTTAAGAATAGCATCCATTTAAACAGTTGACTTACAGTTTGTTAATGTTGAGATGTAAAGCTGCCACCTTTATATTTTCGTGCTTCTGATTTTATTGTGAGGGAAATATACAATTGTGGTTACCTTCAAATTTTGAAATTAAAAATATACAACTGTTTGTATAAATGCCTGATGAAGCTTTATTCCTGTTGCACTGACTGGCTCTAATTTTACGTATGTATCAGGTACCCACATTTTTGCTCCCTTGAATCTCCTTGACTCTTAACTGGTGGGATAAAGGGAGTTCAAAGTGACTATCTTTGCAGCTACCATAATCTCTCTCTCTTTGCCTGTGCCTTCCATAGAATAAGGATGCCACTGACCCGTGCCCGTCCTCTCAGTCCTGTTTCATATCCAGCTGTTTCATTTGAATGCAGAGCTGCTTCCCTTGTTTTTATGTAAAATGTTTTAGCAGCACATTACAAAACTCATATTGAATGAGCAAATGACACATGTGCTTGTTTGCTTCTTGTGACATACATTGATCTGCACAAAGTTTTCTCAAAGGACCACTGTCTCACTCATGAATATCTGCTCCTCTGCTCCTGAATTGCTGAGTCCTTCCAGTGCCTTGGACAAATCTTGGTGAAGTGAGATTATTGTGTTGAGATTCAGGGTTGTTTTTAATGTTTCTTTCTTTGCCAACTCTTGGGGGTTTGAATGTTTTAAATTTGAACTCCAACTTTATTATACTGAAAATCAGACCGCCCATTTTTTCTTTCTACCCCTTTTCAGAAAGGCCTAAAGAATGTATTTGACGAAGCAATATTGGCTGCCCTGGAGCCTCCAGAACCGAAGAAGAGCCGCAGGTGTGTGCTGCTATGAACATCTCTCCAGAGCCCTTTCTGCACAGCTGGTGTCGGCATCATACTAAAAGCAATGTTTAAATCAAACTAAAGATTAAAAATTAAAATTCGTTTTTGCAATAATGACAAATGCCCTGCACCTACCCACATGCACTCGTGTGAGACAAGGCCCATAGGTATGGCCCCCCTTTCCCCTCCCAGTACTAGTTAATTTTGAGTAATTGTGTATTGTCAGAAAAGTGATTAGTACTAGTTTTTGTTTTGTTGTTTCAAA